GTAGAAACGGTTGTGTCAAAATTAATATGTTTTATTAATTTTTTTTATAATCTGGTGGATAACAGTCGCTGTTGCACGAATGGGCAAGCCCGTCCGGGTACCACGGTCCATGACCTCACAGAAGACCGGCTTAAAGTGATATACTTCTGCGTTTCGTCTGTTGAGTGAGGTAGCCGGGCCCTACTTTATTAAATGTAGGACCCAGTGGCGGATTTTCCCTAAGGCCCAGTAGGTACGGGCCTAGGGCGGCCCAATAGGGGCGTCCGTGACAAAGTTGGATTACCGCAGCGGCGAAAAACTTTTCGTCCTTTTTTATACAAATTTAAACATTGTAAAACACTTATAATGTCTAAGCTTGTATGATAATAAATCTGCAGTTAAATAAATAAAACCTAAAACTGTTTAAATGTTTCATTAATAGGAGCAAATACGTCTGAAACATCGGAAATGGAAACTAGCAGCAGTTAGCTATTTGAATCGATTTGGATAAAAGTTGGCAATAAAGTAAAATTATATAGTCTGTATGACGGATGCTAAGAAAGGGGCGGCTGGTTCTTAGTACGAAGCCTGGGGCCTAGGGCGGCCAAGACTGGCAAAATAAATGCTAGTTTCATTTTCACCACATGACACTTAGGCGGGTCAACCAAAAGGTTATTTTATCAAAATATGTTTTAATTTTGAGTTTTAGATATTTTTATATTCCTCTCGAACATTCTTTAATTATTTAAATGTTATATATTATGTTCTCATACATACACTTTGTATGTTAATGAAATGTCTTAATACATTTCTTATTTGCTGTATTGTACCAAGGAAAAATATACGGTACAGTAATAGCCGGTTCTTTTTAAGAAAACTATTTTCCTTATATCTATAATGTTTCATATTACAAATCCAGTTCATGGTGGACGTAGGTATATCTCTAATCTTTGCTATTACTTTTATTTATCTCAATTTGTACTTGCTGTTTCTATAATATTATTACGTATTAAGTAATCACTTTATATTTATACACATATTGTACTCTTATCTGTTTGTTTACAAGACGCTGAGAATCTGTTTATTGTACCGTATTCACGAAACTATTTCCCTTAGCGAACGTAAATATTTTACCGTGTTAGTGCCACGCAGCATCTTCGGATGTTGCACGAATGGGCAGGCTCGTGTGGAGTAACAAGGCCTCAGAATAATCGACGTGAAGTGGAAATATTAAACTTTCGCGTTTCGTCTGATGAGAAACGTAACCCTAATGTGGGTCCCCCACATTTGTCAACGCATCAACAAGCCATGTTGGGTTGTGCTATTTAGCACAGTGCAGTTACTATTTTTCTCAATGCATGATATTATATTCATTTGCAAACGCTTGTTGAAAATTGCGTGACACAATTATTTTTACTTAGTATTTTTGAGAATGGACATCACAATATAGAAGACGTTCAGAGAATTATGAAACATTTAAATGTTCTTTAACGTGATGCCACGATCATAATGAGGCTATTTTAATAAATGACTACCTCACTACAGACACGGTTTAGCAAGTGATGTGAATCAGATTCTGTTGCATTTTCACCTAGAACAAGGTAGAACGCCTTGAATAATTTAACAATTTATAAGACATTAGTGCCATCTAGATGACCGATAGGACATTATGTAGTCAATTATTGAGTGATATTTACAAAGTCCACCACTAGATGGAACCTTTTCTTAACTAAAAGCCGCAACGTTTTTGAAGCTCTCGGACCATAGGACCACAGAGTACTTTAGTATATACTGAAATAGGACTAGTTCTTACCGGCATTTATGACAGCTTTTACATAAATCTTCGTGAAGTCCGCCAATCGGCACTGGGGCCGCGTGCTGGAACATGCTCTAATACAGTCTGTACAGAGGCCTTTGCCCAGCAGTGGGACAAACATAGGCTATTACTTTACTAAACATATCAACAAAAATATATTTTTAATGTCTCTACTTGATTTAAATGAGACTAACATATTTGCTTGTAACTTGCTGCAAACCCCTGCTATTTTGTACTGCAGAATTCTTACCTCTGACTTCACAGCAGCCATTAATTTTTATTTACACCACCCACACGACGAAACGCAAAAGTATCATACTTCCACTTCGACATCCCTAAAAGTGCGACATTTTTACGGATGTCGAAAAAAATATCGATATATCGATACAAAATATGGAATATCGAAATCGTATCAAAAACAATATTTTCTCAAATTCGGCACAGTCCGTAGGTGTCAAATGTTAAATACTTGGTATACCATTTTCTTTTGGACAACGGGCCTACAGAGATATTGATATTTTACAGTTTTACACTTCCACTTAAAGCCCGTCCACTGTGAGTGCCCGCGGTTCTTCCCCGAACGAGACCGCCCATTCATGTAACACCAGAACATAACTCTTGTATGGCTCTTCACGACAATGTAAAATAATGCAAGAAATCTTTTTTGCAAGACTTATCGAACAATGCATCAACTCCTATTAAAGGCAGATTAATAAACTTTTTAAAAAATACTTATTTTACTATAATTTATTTGAAATTAAATTAGAATAAATACAAAGAAAGAATACAATACATTAAAAAAGTTTTCGTCTCCTTCTCTAGCAGGGGGTGTACCATTCAGAAACAAATGAAACCGCCAATTAAGTACTCTTTTATTTGCAACATCCAAATCGCGATTAGTCATACAAAAAAGAAAGTGGGTGCGCTCTGAACTGCGTCGATGCTTGAAGCACTCTCAATGGTCATTTAACATCTACTTATCCGTTCAGTACAAGTGATACAGATTCTCAAAAAAAAAAAAAAAAAACTAAAATGAACGAACGGTCTTAAAAGGCGCCATTTTGTCTCTGCAGATTTGGCGCCATTAGTACTGTCATTTTTGCGACTTGTGTGTCATTCGACCGTGCAAATATCACAGCGTTGTCAACTGTCATCGCTCTTTGGGCAGGATAAAAGTACACGAATAGTTCGTGAATAGCGCCCAAACAGAATCTCATTACTGCCATCAAAAAGTCGTATTGGAAAAACAATCTGGTTCGAAGTCATTTATGTACTTATATATTATGCATCTAATATTAAATATTCCTTAATAACTTTTTAAATAACAGTTTTAGAAGTAAGTTATTTCGTATAGACTGACTGACGACTTCAAATATGACAGCGATGGTTATTCTGTGCCTATTTTATTACAAATGATCACTGTGCTAAACGCAGTCAGAGTTTACAGCCATTAACTAGAGGATATATATTTTTTTACATACAAGGGCAAAAAAATGACCTTCAAAATAAATAATTTCAAATGAACGTAGACAATTTTGGTCACTTAACATTAAAAATTCTCGAGCACTTTTTGACAATACTACATGGTCATTTCTGCCTACTAAAAGAGCCTCTCTACTCTCGTTCCGTTTTGATAATAGCAAAGGCAAAGCATTCAATATGTCCGATAGGTCTATTTGACTATATTTGGGGAAAATATCCCTGTATGCTATTTTCGAAAAAGCTAATTAGATAGTGCATTTAGTCACAATAAAAACGAACTTTCCGTTCCGTTCCGTTCCACGGTAAATCTCAAATACCGTCTGCATTAAATCGTATAAAATTAATGGAGTGGTTAGTTTTCTCGATATGGGAACGGCCTAAGCTGGTGGGTTCTGTCTTTTTTCTTTCTTTCTTTGTTCATTTCTTCGCTCGAGCGATTGAACAAGTGTCAAGCATCGCCGCGGCGCCTTTGCACGCACAAACGTCAACAGACAAGAATATATCGATCATGCCGATATCGAGACACGTAAAGCACGCGCGTATTTACAAGGTGTGTGCAACGCGTACACGATAGAGTACCGCTGTACGCTGTGCACAGGACCGTGGTCAACGACATACGACACCCGCAGACGAAAACCACAAGACTTGCCCACTCGAAAACAACGGTGGGGTTGATTCGATTCGCGAGTGCGTCCCATCGTTAAGTCACTCACGGACATCACTACGGTACGTCAGCTAGACGCGCGCACAGCGAACTTTGGATGCGACAGTACGCTGACTAAGATTTTGTAAACATCGATACACTTATCGTTTAAAAGTCGAAGCGGCCAATGGATACACATTTAAATGGATACGGATAATATTATGTCGTTTCGCGTATATTCCGATGTCCGATGGCGGAAATCGTGCCATAATATATATATATATATATATATATATATATATATATATATATATATATATATATATATATATATACGTACATTATTACTTTTTACACCGTGATTACTCTAATTTCGATTGAAAATCGCATAAGCAAAACACGAGAGCGATCAGAAAGCTCGGGCGCGCATACGACAGACGCAAAGGCGCATACGCTGCAATAGAAATCTATAAAGATCTCATCACATAATTATGTATAATATACAAGAGACCTTTAAAGTTCGTACAACGATTAAAACACTCAATTTAAAAAAATACGCGTCTACACATCCAATATGCCATTGCGCGATTCGCGTTCCACATTAAAAAAAAAGTAAATATGTCACATTCTGACGCACGTCAAAACGGGTCGGCCGCGGCGATTCCCGCCATTAGACACCGCCCTCCATCCGCATCGATACAACAGAAGCTATTCTAATTTTTTTTTACACACACAATTTACAACTCGACCGCAACTCATACACCGCCAGCGTCAATATCACTTACAACGTAACAATTATTACATACAACAGAGACTGAGGGGCTAGAGGGGAGAGGGGGTGATTATCAATACCATACGTAGCCGATACGTACAACGGTCGTTCGTCTCGTTTATTCCCTAGTGAAATTTAAAAACCGACTAAACCGGTGATCCCCGGCGGATCTTCACGGGGGGGATCCCCGCATTTCGCGTACGCACATATGCACCGTCATTCGGTGCACGTCCGCGACTGTTTTCGTCGGCGCGTCGGCGCGCTTTATACAGGTAGGCCAGCGGGGGGCAGGCGGAGGGGGGGCTCTATCTGTTTGACTGGCTCCTCTTCTCGCAGTCGTACATGCAGCGGCAGTCCTCGTTGATCGAGTCCAGGGACATAAGGCTCTCCTGGGAGGTCCTTAAGCACGAGCGGCATCTCGAGTCGGCGGAGGCGCCGCTCTGCGAGTTGGCGTCCTCTGACACGGACTCGAGCGATTTGAGGCTCTCCACGGAGGTCAGCTTGCACGATCTGAACTCGGCCGTCTCCTCCTCGCTCATGTTCAGCGCGAGGAGGGAGTCGCGCGCGATCCTGCCCAGGCACGAGGCCTTCTTCTTCTTCTTCGCCGCGCCCGCCTCCATTCTGGCCAGCGGGCACGGCTTGATCAGGCTCTCGGGCAAAGATTTCGGACTGGAGCCGCTTCGGGTGCGGAACTTGACCCTCCTCTCCGGTATGTCCCTGGGCGTCGTCGTCTCTGGCACCTTGAAGGCGATGGTCTTCGTTTTGGCGCCGGCGCCGTCCGCCTCGGCGAGCCTCCGCGACAGCTCCTCGAGCGAGTTGGACTTCTTCAGCTTGGCGCGCTCCGGTATGACGGGCGAGCTCCTCAGCCCCTTCATCTCTTTCGCCGAGAACACCTCTGGCGCCTCCACCGCCTCGTCGATGACCAGTTCGGGCGAGAGGTCGACGGGGGGCGCCCCCCGGGCCTGCGCCCCGTGCAGCTCCCGCGGGGACTCCCCCACGGTCTCGTAGGCGAGGTACGACAGGGCGTCCCTCCCCACGTCGACACTTTCCAGCTCCGGCGCCGGTTTGGGCTCGACCCTCTCGGCGATCGTCTCCAAGGAGGTCACGCCGCTGTCCGCTGACGTGGCGCCCTCGTCGTCTATGTACGCGAGCTGGACGCACGTGTCGGCCGCCTCGTCGCACATCTCCTCCACCGTGGCTATGGGCGCCATCTCGGTCTTCACGTCGCCCACCGGCATCGGGAGCCTCTCGGGCGATTGCGCTGCCGGCTTCTTCGAATCGGACAGTTCCAGGTGCAGCGCTTCGGCGTTGGTGACGCTCGACGTCAGCGTGTTCTCGGGGCTGATGTTCTCCTTGATGCCGCGTATCACTTTGCTGGGCAGCTTGTCGACGGGCGGCCCGCAATCCGGGCTGGGCGGCCTGTCCAGTGAGTTGTCAGTTCCGGACGCCCTCAGCACGGCGGCGAAGGAGCGCGGGCGGGCCGTAGCGCCGTCCTGCTTCGACTCGCACCCTCTCGCTCCCCCCTCGCTGGCCGGCTGCGCGACGGGGTCCCTAACCGCGGCGGTTACGTCGCGGACGCTCCTATCGGGGTCGGGCCCATTGAGATCTTCGCTATCACTCGCTCCCGGCCGATCGCCGTTGGAGCACGCACTATTTACAACGTCCTCGCTTACATCTAAAAGTATTTGTACTGAATTGTCATCGGTGGTTATGTTATTATCGGTAACTCTATCGACTAAGGCCGTATCGGGCGCGGGGAAGGTCTGGAACTCGCTGAGCGTGTTCTCCGTGTCGGTGGACGGGGTCTTGCTGTCGAGCTTCTTCGAGAAAGACTCGTCCACGAAGGAGACTTGCACTCGCTCCGATAGCGTGGAGTCGGTCGCCTCCGACAGGCTATCATTATCTTCCTTCTCCGTCTTCTCTGTCGCGCTGCCCCAGGACCAGAACGAGCTCGTCAGCGACGAGTCCTTCCGCGGCGGCGTGCTCGAAGCGGACTTCCTCTCGTCGTCGCTGTGGGACGAGCTGCTGCGCGAGAACAGGCTGCTCGGATGCTGGAACAGGCTGAGCAGCTTCTCGAGGTGCGACGGCAGCTTCATCTCGATCTTGTCCGGCTCCGGTCTGGGGATGTGGAAGCTGGGGGAGGGCGCCACCCAGGATATCTTCCGCATGCGGTCCAGGCCCTTGCTCTTCAGCGCGGGCACGTCCAGCAGGCTTGAGGTCCTCTTGGGCGAGGTCAGGGTCTCCTGTATTTGGAAGACCGCCGGTTTCCCGACGGTCTCCTTGAGGCTGGAGTTGTGCGTCAGTGTTCCCTCGTTGGATGAGGCGTCCTCCTTGTTCTCGGTGGGGTTCTGCAGAGAATACTCTATGCCGGAGTCGGCTGACGTCACCATCACCCTCTCCTGCCTCGCCGATTCCAGGGAGCTCATGCTCGCCTCCAAGCTGGACAGAGAGCCGTGGATCTTCTTGCCGCCGAAGATTATCGGGGAGACGCTCTCGTTGGAGCTGACGGACGTGTTCAGGAAGCCGCTGTTGACCGGTGTGGTTTCGCTGGCGTTCGACTCCATGCTGCTCCCGGTGGACAGGGTGCCGGTGTCTCTTCTTCTGTCCAGCTCCGTGTCGGACTCCACCATCTCTCGGATGATGACGGGCCTGGGTAAGTGCTGGTCGCGTTCGACGGCGTTCAGGCTCTCCATCGAACTGCCCGATATCTCCAGAGACGAGCTGCTGTCACAAAAAGCGCTGCCCGTCAGCTTCTTGTTCATAAGCCTGGAGACCTCCAAGTCGGGGCTGTCCAGGCTCGACTCGCTCTTGTTCTTCTTCAGCACCACGTCGCGGACGACCTTGAACGGTGCGTCGTTGAATGTATCCAGGCTGTTATCCACGTCCATTCTCTCCGTCTGCGTGCAGTCGCTTCTCACTTTAACAGCCCTCGCCTTGACCGACATGTCCTGCAACTCCTGTATTATATTACCCAGGTTCTCCGTGATCTCCTCCAGGTGCCTCATCGCATCTCCGGCCCTTTCCCCGCAGGACAGCTCGTCCACCTTGACCTCGATGGGTATACTAGCATTTTGGTCGCTGTGCACTTTGGCCGGTTGATCCCTATTAACACTACTCTCGCGTTTCACCGTGAACTCAACTTCTACGTCCACCACCTCCGTATCGGTGGCCTCTACGCTAGTCTTAACTAATCTCGTCTCCGTCTTAAGCACTCTATCACCGCCCACTACGCTAACTACCTCATTATGAGATATATCCTCGGATTTGTCCTTGAAATCCGCCGTCGCACTAACATCACTTAATCTACCGCCCGCTTCACAACTGGCTTCACTAACGCTACGTATTAAATTATCAGTCAGAACTTTCTCGGCCGCATGCAAGTCGAGTCTCACTACGTCGTCGACACTCATATCACATATGTTGGTTATGACCTCGGTAATGTCTCTATCTATCGGCGTAGAAGCGTCGTCCTCTTGTTTGTCTTCTGCCGGCGGTCGGCCTTTGAAACCGACAGATATGACCGTGGTCTCCCTGAGATCTGATTTGGTGGGTTCAGTGTTTGATATCTCCAGCCCTGGAGCGTTCATCTCCGTTCCTGGAACGCGTTTACGGACTAAATCCGGATTATAAACTGCCACTTGTTTGTCTGTGACGAAAGCATCGTCTTTCCTTTTGGCGCTTGGCGTCCCTCCACTTGTGAATTTGTCCAAAACTTGCTCGGTTGCGTCTGACACTTTAGTTTCGAGGTCTGTTAGTTCTGAAGGGATATCGAATCCGCTGTTAATTACGACTCTTTCGTTTGACTCTACAGCATGCGTTGATATCGCATCGAGGGACGCCATTTCGCTTTCCGGTTTCTCGGCTTCTTCCCTCGTCTGTTTCGGTCCGAGACTGGGCATCGAACGTGCACTATCCGCCCTCCGTTCCAAGCTCTCACACATCACTAGCGGGGTCAATCTCTCTGTGCTCAGCACGCCCAACATTCCGGCGTTCCGCCCAGTAACCTCTGCCCGCTCGGGTCGTCCCAATTTCGCCGTCCAGTCCGCCATCTTGACCGGCTCTGTCGCCGCCCTCACCACGACCGGCTGCACGCTGAACCTGCCCGGGACCGGACGGATGTCCGGTTTAACGGGACACGTCACATCCGCGCTTGGCTCCGAGCGCATCGCTGGCTCCGAGATAGTCTTGACCAACTTCGGTGCAATCGGCTCGACGCTCGGCTCGATGCTCGGCTCCGCGCTCGGCTCGGGGCTCGGAGTCGCCGTGGGGGGCTCCGGGCTGGGCGAGGCCGTGGACGAGGGCGAAGGCGTCAGGTTGTACACGCTGTCGTAGTTCCTGGTGACGGAGAAACGTGAGGACGGCCTCCTCGGCTGAGTGGCCGGGTGCACTTGGATCAGGGGCGGCTCAGCGACCTGGAACGAGCGGTTTTAGACATTTAGAGGCATGAATATGTTATGGGCATTCTGGAGGTCGGAGCCGTGATAGCCCAGTGTCCGGGCGCTCGCCTTTAATTCAATATACTCTATACTTTAACTTTAAGTGCTGACTTATCACGTGCTCCGCGGTGAAGGAGAACATCGTGAGGAAACCTGCATATTTTCGAAATAATAACAAAAAAATATATATATATTTCGAAGATATGTGAAGTCCGCCAATCCGCAGTGGGGCCGCGTGGTGGACTATGCCCTGATACCCTCTGTATAGAGGAGGCCTTTGCCCAGCAGTGGGACATGTATAGGCTGTTACTTTACTTTTATTCTGTAGGTATAAGAGAAATATCCAAAATCTTTATTGATATCTTGCCCTCGATTAACAATAACGGATAACGCCAACGTAACATACGTTCAATTTTCCATGTCACAATTTAACGCATGTATGATTGCATGGGGGACGAGATGCAATTTAGGCTGAGATATGAACGAGAAGGTGATTTAGTAAGTAAGTAGGAACTTAGTTATCCTTATATATTATTTTATAATCTTTTACTAAGGGATTACGTACTTAGCTTTTTATTATTGAAAAATTTTACAATCAAGGTGAGTAACGATAGCTACGCGCGCAATAGCTAACGCACCATGCTTGTAAAATTTTTCAAAAAAAGTATAATACTTTATTTTCACCATTTCACAGGCCGTGAAATGTAATTTTACTATTAGTGTGAAATTACTATTATTTTACGACAGTCAATTGTCGGTCGATTCGAATTCAGAAACGTGAAGATCGATTGGCGCTCATGGCGAAAATGTACAGATCATAAATACTTTTCTTTTAATCTATTATAAACACGAACACTGAGCCCAAGTTGGTCAACATTAGCTGCTCTTTTTTAACCGACTTCAAAAATGGTTTCTCGGATCGACCGAATATATACAGCGTGTCGTTACCATCGCGACAATAAATGAACACACGTCTAACGCTACTTGCCAATAATCTAAAAAAAATATTAACCTTAAACAAAATCCATAATTAAAAAAAATTTTTTTCAAACAAACTAATCAAGTAAAAAAGGAACAAAATTTGTATCATCCTATACAACTCGCGCCACAGCGTCGTATTACAAGCCTCCCCTTCTAACGGTATGTTTTGTCTCTCTTAAATTCATTCAACCCATTCATATGCTTTGTGTTCTTTACAAATGAACTTTACGTTATGCTTTTATAGGTAAGGGTGTTCTAAAATTGTTTGTTTTGGAAAATTTAATAACTCTGTAAATATTGATGCTTAAGGCGCTGTATGCAGTGAATTTTTAACTATTTGGGTGATGAAGTATGAGGAAGCGGAGGAGGGGTAACGCCGCTTAGCGAGTTTCGTCGACGCGCCGCTAGACCATTCATTACCTAGTGTGTAGTGATGGGCCGTAGGACACTATCGATAGTATCATGGAAGGCTTTCGAAAATGTACACAGATGATCCCTATAATATCTTTTATAGACCATGATTGTACTTTACTTTTATATTATTATAGGAATAATAATAAACAAACAAATATAAAGTATGAGAAAGCAATCAACAGTTTTAAAAAAACTTCCTATTAATTATTTTAAATTATCAGGAAACGGATTAGAATTGATTAAAAATACATCTTAAAGTCAAATAAATTAATAAAGGCAAATGACATTTCTTACAACAAAACAATAAATAAACGAATAATTATTTATTTTGATTTAAAGTTTAACTACGCGATTTCATAGTCTCCACGGCAGAAATTACGAATACGACTTTTTTATTACATATTTTCTTAAACTTTAAATCTTTAATTTATCCTTTAAATGTGAAAGACTTGCTACGTTATATTAATTCCTCAGTGAAATTATATTTAAAAAATTATCGATAAAATTCCTTATATCGATAAACGATAACAATTATAACTAGAATCGAAATATTGTTCCCTTCCGCAGACATCGTGTAGCCTATTGGTCGAGCGTCATGGTTGATACATCTTTTTCCAATTTTAATTTGTTAATCAATTAATTATTTTGTTGTTATTTGATAAAATGTGGAAAATACAAAAATTATAAAACAATTATTTTTTGTGTTCGTAAAAGAATAGTTTTCGTTTTAGGGTGAAAAATTAAATATTTTAATAAAACAAATTAAAAACAATATACAATATAAGACTTGTTAAAAATTTTAAATAATGAAAACTTGGTTTATTATCTGATAGATTGTTCTCCAACTGTTGCGTTCTACGTTCACAAATACAATAATATTTCGTTGTAATTATTTATAAAAATAAAAAAATCAACAAAAATTAAATGGTAAATTAAAAAAAATACCTACTAAAAGAAAATCAACAAAAAAATAACAAAGAAAAATGTAGGGATTTGAACCCAATCCCTATAGAATGATGGTCCTTTACACAGTGTTACCAACTGTTCAAAAATAATACTAAAAGAATTCGAAAACCGACTAAAATTTATTAAATTCAAACAAAAATTTCTAAATTTAAAATCAGGATTTTTTTTTTATATTATAGAAAAGGGCAAAATAATTATCTGATAAAATAAAACATGGTCAAGAACATCAACTAATTCATTTGAAATGAATATGTTAAGAATAAAATCAAAACAATATTAAAAAAATTATTAGAATACATAAATTATTCATACCAGACACATAGGCCTAGGCCTGACGTCATCCAAAGCAGCACGGCACTGATTTTTTTTAAATAAGTTGTTTTGTGTAGTTTTTTTCGAAAATGTGAATAAAATTTAACTCCTAAAAAAATATTCCCATAAAAATTTACTTGGGAGGTAAACTTCCTTTCCACTTTTTTTATTCCTAAATTTCGGAAGAAAATTCCTAAGTTGGCATCCCTGCTTTTACGCTGTTTGTATAGAACTGATAAACTTATCAATGACAAGATAAGATATTGAAATTACGCTTTAGATGTTAATTCATACAAATAATTAAAAATACGAAATATGTGAATATATATTTTTTAGTTTCGTGTTTTCGAAAGATCTAATAAAATTATAACCCTCAATAATAAATAAATACGGAACATATTTCGTAACGGTGAGCGGAAAACGAGCGGCATAGGTCCATCTAGCAAGGCGCCTCCGCGCTCTCTGTTCAACGTGTGGAGTTGGAAGAGAGCCGAAACAACGCCGCGGTGGCGCGGTGTTTTGGCCATCGCGTTCGAATTAATTTTAATGAATTAAATTAATATTTAGAAATATCTTACATCAATCAACAAATTAAAACAACAATCCTTTTTATTAATATATTCTATACCACTGATATTAATTTCATTAAGATTTGTTGATGTATTACGTTCATTTTTGGTTTTGAATTTCTCTTTTAGAGGTAGTTTCATGATTTTTTTCTATCGAGTAAATATATCGAGAATGTGTTTTGAAAACAATGCTCCATTAGAATGTAAGATCAAGATGAACATATATTTTTTTTGCTGCTATAAAATGTGTAGATTTTGCTAAAAAAAATCTTTTGAAAAACCTATTTTTACTGCATACAGCGCCTTAAAGAATTTAAATGTTTAATACAACTTTAAAAAGTTATCCCCTATATGTGTGTTCATTTATTGTCGCGATGGTAACGACACGCTGTATACATTTTTTAACTTGATCATAATTAAACACCAACCCCGTGCGGAGTTCTATTACATTGTGGGGTCGTGGGTTCGATTCGGACACTAGTGACAACAACAATATTTGTGTGGCCCACAGATGGTTGTTTCGCATCTGGGTGTTTGTCCGTGTGAAATTTATGTATGTAAAAAGTCCTTACGGCACAGGATCATGCCATACTGAAGTAAGGGCAACGTTTAAAAAAAAGGTCTCCCACCTGCACCACCTTGAACCTGGAGGGGTTCGGGCAGAAGCCCGGCCGCGGGGGCGCTGAGGGGCTGGGGCTGTCGGAGGATTCCCTGTCGGGTGTCACCCTCGTCACCTGCGGACAAAACAACGGAGGCGTAACCGCAAGAAATTGTCCTCCACGCACAGCTTGCAACAGGGTTTCGTCTCGTTGCGGTAGGAATGGGCAGGTCCGTCCGGGGAAGTACCACGACGGTAAACCGGCGTGAGGTGGCAGTGTAACACTTGCGCGTTTCGTGTTGTGCGTGGGGTAGCCGAGGCCCACTCTTTTGAAGGCTGGCAAAGCATTAGATAAGCTACTACTAGACTCCAAAGAGTGAATAACTCGTTCATGGTATACGCTTCTACAATAAAATCTCAGTTAATGCGCAATGCCTATCTATTAACGGGTTTAAGTAATTTATTAAAGAAAAACTTTTTTAAAAAGAGTTATTATAATATACATAACCCTTGGGAATGAGATGATCGCTCACAAGCCGTTTCTAAAATAAAATATATACTGCATAAAATTGGATACAAGTTTGAGGGGGGAAAACAAGTGTTTGAATGAGTTTTGCGTGTGAGCGACAGTGGCAATACGTTCGCGTATCGTGATCGACCTTTGACTCGAACAAACACACACTTGCTTCATATGACATATGTGTTACGTGTACTTTGTGTGCGTGTATATGTGTGCGTGTATATGTGTGCGTGTATATGTGTGCGTGTATATGTGTGCGTGTATATGTGTGCGTGTATATGTGTACGTGTGCGTACGCATACCGTGCGAGACCGTGGTGACGTACAGACGCACACTTATTCGCAAAATTACGCGTGAACAGTCCAACAAACACAAGTTCTGGCAGCAAGTCGGCGACCCGAATGGCGTAGTGGGTAGTGTACCTGCCTCCTGAGTCAGGTGGTGTGGGTTCGATCCCCACTACTGGAAAAATATTGTGTGATAAGCATAGTGTTTTTCCAGTGTCTGGGTGTTTATATATGTATAATATGTATTTATTTACAAAAGAAAAGTATGCCTAAGTGGGTTTATCAGTTATAGAGTACCCATAGTATAAGCGTTGGGACGTTTGGGCCTAGAGAACGTTGCGTATAAAATGTGTCCGAAAACATTTATTTATTTATTTATTTATTTTCACGCAACCTCAATTTATTATAGGTACGTTGTGCGTGTGTGTGTCCTCAATTATAGGCAGTCACAGCATTCGCTTGCTTAACACGCATTGCGCGTACGTGTGTGCGAGTGTGTGTAGGTCCGTGTGTGTGTGTGTGTGTGTGTGTGTGTGTGTGTGTGTGTGTGTGTGTGTGTGTGTGTGTGTGTGTGTGTGTGTGTGTGTGTGTGTGTTTTATGTACCGACCGAGAAGCGCGAGTGTTGCGCTGGCGGCACGGGGCTGCCGGCGGGCGAGGGGGCGGGGGAGGGGGCGGGCGAGCGGAGCCTGCCCCCCGCACCGCCAACCGCGCGGCGCTCCTCCTCCGCGCCGCCCTGCAAACGGAAGAAACTTATCGTGACGTCAACATTTAATTAATTTGTATTTGTATAAGTTAATAGCTGTTAACCTCGGCTTCGCCCGCGCGGCTAACGGGAATTAACAATGAGTTTTTTTATTATACCAAAATATCTCGCAGATGGCTGAATCTTTTCCTACTTAAGCCCGGTTCCTATATTCAACGAACGGCCGTTAGTTACATTGTCATTATGAAGTCGTTACAACGAGTCGTTATGAAAGTTATGTAACTAAAGGCCGTACGTTGAATGTAGGAACCGGGCATTAGTTGACACTTATTTACTTATATTTTGGACAATTCACACAATATCTTTAAGAATTATTGCCATTGTGTTATTCTGATGTATAAGCTATATTATTGTATTTTCATTAAAATATATTCAGTAGTTTTTTCGTGAAAGAGTAACAAAGATCCATCCATACATACGTACAAACTTCCGCGTTTATAATATTAAAGTAGTTAGAATTTGCCGTGATCAGTCAGTGTCCGGGCGCTCGCCTTTAATTCAATATATTCGATCGAACCGATGAAATTGTTGATTTTAAGTGCTGATTTATCATGTTATCTAATATTTCTCAGAAATTTAAATTGTTTATAGTGCTAATCTTTGCACTTAAGATTGAACATTAAAATATGTAGAAAAAGTGCGAAAAGATTGTCGCCGCTGTGGGAATCGAACCCACGTCTTCGGCATTCGCGGCCTGACGCTCTAGCCACTGAGCTAAACGATATTCGAAGTTGTTTGTATGCTGGAAAGGATATAACAATAGATGGCGCCAAGCATTGCTTCAAATGCTAAGAAAACAATGTAGAAGAATGCGTTAAGATTTTCGTCGGTGTGGTAATCAGCCGTTTAGCTCAGTGGCTAGAGCGTCAGGCCGCGAATGCCGAAGACGTGGGTTCGATTCCCACAGCGGCGACAATCTTTTCGCACTTTTTCTACATATTTTAATAATATTTCTCATTTAAAACCATACATACCGTGGGACATAATTTAGTTATCTTTCATAGATTTTAAACTTTTTTTCATCTTTGCCTTAGAAATTGTTTTAATTAAATTTGGTAACAAGTGAGCTTAATAATATTTTGTTCATACTTTTCTATTTATAATTTTTTTTTCTTTAATTTCAAGCATGCTGTATTCGTCTTAATTAGATGTACATATATATACATAGCTATAACGTTAATTTATGTTTCATATAATATTGTTTTTAATATTAGAACTACTGGCAGACGTAATAAATAAATAAACAACGGCCGCTTGAGTGACGAGTGCGAGCGAGACGGGGCGATCGCGCGGCCAGCGGTCTTTTTCCACCGTTCCGATTTCTCGACATCAAAGTTAATTAAGTTAGTAAGCGTTGAAATATCCCTTTTCAGTGATATAGGTACTTAAACGTGAACTAGGAAAAATTAATAGAAACATTTGTACATTACGAACTATAAATGATTTATATACATATAAATTTGGAAATCGAATGACAGTTTTCGAACGTGACAGATACACACTTAGTTGTAACTTGTTAGTGTCAGACTCTGCAGTTATTTGAACTGTTACGTAGAGGCTCTGAATTTGAAGAATTAGTAGTTAGATAAGCATTTAGTAATGGAGAGTGTAGAGTCGTGATAGCTCAGTGTCCGGGCGTTCGCCTTTAATTCAATATACTCGAGCAACCTGAGTTCGATCCCCGGTGCCGGCACCAATGAAGTTTTTAACTTTAAGTGCTGACTTATCACATGCTCCGCGGTGAAGGAAAACATCGTGAGGAAACCTGCATATTTTCGAAATAATAACAAAAAAATATTTCTAAGATATGTGAAGTCCGCAAATCCGCAGTGGGGCCGCGTGGTGGACTATGCCCTGATACCCTCAGTATAGAGGAGGCCTTTTCCCAACAGTGGGACATGTATAGGCTGTTACTTTACTTTACTTTTAGTAGTGGAGGGGGGGGGGGGGGGGGGGGGATTGTAAGGGACGTTTGTGAAAGTGTAAAAGTGTAAAGCATTAAGGGGGGAGTGAGTGTAAAGCATCATCAGGGCGGGAGTGGGTGTGTGGCATTAATGAGGGGCTGGGGTGGATGTAAAACATTTGGGGGGCGGTGGGGTGAGCACCTGGGCGAGGCGCGCCGTGTGGCAGGTGAGGCTGATCTTGCGCTGCAGCCGGTGGCCGGGCGGCGGCTCGTTGCGGCGGCAGAGGGCGCGCACGTCGCGCGCCAACCGCGCCGCGGCGGGCTCCTGGAAAACACAGTGTTTTTCATTTAGAGACCGTTCGAGGACAACTATAAAGTCCACTGAAATTCACTAACTCAAACGAGAACTTCCTCAATGTATAATTTCTTTGTTACATCACCGAGCCGGAATAATCGTTATGTTCACAATTTTTTTCTCGTTACAATTTATCGTGGAATCATTTATCATAGGCCTTGACCTGACTTCTGCCAATGCACCCAACACTATTAAATTATAATTTTGTTTGAAATAAGTAATCCTATGTAGCTTTTTTTTTAATGGCAATAAAATTCTACATTAGATTACAATAGTTCAGTGTCTGGGCGCACGCTTTTGATTCAATGTACTAGAGTTCAAATCATTTATATGTTCTAATCAGTTACGATATACGGAACCCTAAAAAAGAGAAAATACCGTCGGTTCGTCGAGGTCTATTTGCGTGATGGTGGTGTTGTCCTTGAGCGCGTTGAGTATCGCCTGCAGCACGGAGGTTCCCAGCTTGTTGTCCCTCAAGTCCAGCCTCTGGAACGGTCAGCGGACTCGAAATGTGACATGGAAAGGGAAGCTGAGACTTATGCCCGGTTATGTAACGTACGGCCGTTAGTTACATAACTTCGTAGTTACGTATCTTTTACAACGACTCGTATCGATTTCATAATGACTATGTAACTAAGGGCCGTTCGTTGAATATAGTATACGTGCATTATAGCGTTTGGGGTGTAGCCAAATGTATGAGAGAGAGAGAGACGGCATTGCTTTTGTTTCAGCCAAGGATTTCCGGGGGTTCTAATCAAGAGTGTCACTTTACAGGGTGCAATAGGGAGACGATGGCCGACGCTTATTTATAATAATAAACCAAGAGTGAATGAGAGGTTGAATCTAGCCTGTATTTCAGCCTTAATACAAAACATAGACCTCCCCATATATTGCCACTGGGCACGATTCTAAGGCATCTGCATATATCGACTTCCCGCTCAGGTCGTCACTCTATCTGTTAGTGGGTCGTCCCACACTGCGATGGCCAGTACGAGGCTGCCACTCGAGAGCTTTCCTTCCCCAACGGTTATCGGTTCTACGGGCTATATGGCCGGTCCATCGCCACTTCGGCTTGCTGACCTTCTGAGCTACGTCGGTTATCTTTGTCCTATGATTAGTGTATTTATTTACAAAAGTAAACTATATCTAAACATGTTCATCATTTATCTAGCACTGACAGTGCAAGATTTGCTTAGTTTGGGACTAGAAAGCGGTTCACCTGATGTTAAGTGAAAACTGCCTATCCATGGACATTTGCAGCACCCTTAGGGTTGCAGATACGTTGTCACCTCTTAATAAAGTGGGCCCCGGCCACCTCGCTCACCAGACGAAACGCGGAAGTGCAACACTTCTGCTTCACGCCGATTTCTGTGAGGTCGTGGTACTAACCCGGACGGACGTGCCCATTCGTGAAAATGGGCGGCGGTTGTCACTTAGCATCGGGTGGACCGTCAGCTCGATTGCCACTTCGTCACATAATCATAAAAAGAGAATCGAACCTGGAGCCTCGAGCCGGGCGCCAGGAGGGCGGCGAGCGGCCTCGCCGCGTCCGGCCCGAGCCGCGCCGCCTGCAGGCCCAGCGAGAGCAGCCCCCCCGCGCCCCCCGCCCCACCACCAGCCCCACCGGCCCCACCGGCCCCACCAGCCCCCTCCTGCAGCGCGCGCACCGCCTCCGAGCCGAGCGCGTTCCGCCCCACGTTCAGTACGCACAGCGATTGCGACACCCGCTGGAACGGAGACGCACAACAATTATTTATATTTAATCGCCACAATGCTCAGCGAAAACTGTTATTGTATGGCCGCTACGATACGTAATAGATTACCTTATAGATTGAAAACTTTCAATTTAAAATTGTTCAAGCGAAATCTATTTAACTCTTTGAAAGGTAAATTTTATCATTTAAATAATCCCCCGTGGAGATTATTTAAATGATAAAATTTTATAAAAACAGTTTTACTAGATTATATGTTTACTTTTGTTTTGTTTTCCTTTGCATGTTTTAAATGTAAAATGAAATATTTCTACACCAGAAATGGTAGAACATAAAGGATCCACAGTTTTTAAGTCCTACATTGTAGCATGTTACAACAAATAAACATAAGATACGTTTATTTGTTAGAACAATTCTTTCTTTCGCTTCTACCAATACAGGGCGAGTACGGTAGCCTGTATGGACGACCTGTCCAAGGTCGCGACACTTCGCTGGATGCAGGCCCCTTCAAACCGATCGAAGTGAAAATCCTATGTAGAGGAGGCCTGTGTTCAGCAGTAGACGCTTACAGGCTGAAATTATGATGATGGTAGCCGGAGTATACAGTCCATTAAATGCAGGCGATGCATCTGCAACCATACAAATTCAAATATCTTTATTCAATATTACACATACTCGACTGTCAAAACGCTACCACCGGCTCGTGTAAGAAAAGCCACAGACCTAAAAAGCGGCCGCAGAAACTCAGTGGGGCTTACAAGTGTTGTAAATGTTCATGGGCAGCAGTTATCACTTAACATAGGGTATACATGAAAAACAAAAATGGAAAACATAACAGTCTTCGCTGTTGCACAAATGGGCAGGTCCGTCCAGGAAAGTACCCAGTATCAAGTTGAAGTATTACACTTGTGCCTTGCGTCTGGTGAGTGGGGTGACCAGGGTCCAATTTGTTATAAGCTGGCAACCGTACGGGTGTTGCAAATGTTCATATAGGTATCACTTAACATCGGGTGAACCACCAGCTCGCTTGCAACCTTCTCACATTTATCTAGCTGTCACTCATTGAGACTGAAAGTAAATCAATAGACACGGCTAATCAACATTCAAAACTAGGCAATGTTTGGTCGAAACCAATTCTGCATCTGTTTTAACCAATTCATTTGAAACCGAGCGACGCTGAAGAATAGGAACTACTCACCAGGACCCTGGCCAGGTGGACGGCGCAGTTCCTCGTCAGCTGGTTGTTCCACAGCACCAGGAAGGCCAGCCCTCGAGCGTCGTATCCGCTCGCTGCCGACAAGAGACATTTTTACGGTGGTGGGGCCACGCGGCAGCCTCGGCCGTTGCACGAATGGGCAGGCCCGTCCAGGTAAGTACCACGACCTCACAGAAGACCGGCGTAAAGTGGAAGTATAATACTTTCGCGTTTCGTCTGGTGAGCGAGATGGCCGGAGCCCAATTTTCAAAAAGGTTGTCAACGCGTCCAACCCTCGGGTGTGGCAGATGACCATGGGCGGTATTCACTTAACATCAGGTGAACCGTCTGCTCGTTGGGTAACTTTTCACATAAAAAAAAAGATTTTTATTATTACAAAGACCCGATCGGCGTAGTGGCTAGGGAACCTGCTTCACCAGAGGCTGTGGGTTCGATCCCCACTAACGGAAAAATATTGTGTTATGAGCGTAGTGTATTTTGCAGTATATCTGTAATATGTATTTACAGTCATTTACAAAAGGAAAGTATTTTTAACTATGTTTAACACCTATCTGCGAATGGTCCGTGGACCACAGTTTATTTATTTATTTATTACTAACAAAGTACACACCGTAACAGAGCAAATAAACAAGATATGTAAAAAAGTGATGAGTGGTACTTTAATTATGGGTAAAAACTGCTTTTAAACAAACAGTAGAGACAAAAAAAAAAACTTTTACAAAACTAAAGGTGAAATACGAACATTATAATTAAACAAACATTAAAATAAAAACCAGTAAAATGAAAAAGAAAAAAACAGAATATATAGTGTGTTCTGAAACAATATGTCACAATAAAAAAAAAGATGAATTGAACGGTGAAGTTATTAACAACTTGTAAAAAGATTAACGGAACTTAAGTACAATTTGTATTGTACGTCTGAATTTAGATGTATTGTTGTCAATAACATCCATCTCTATATCCAACACGAAGATATTGTCATCTGGGGTGCACCCACTGGGGCAGCTGAGCGGCGAGAGGGGCGAGGTGGCGGCAGATGGCGGCGTCTGGGAGGCCTGCTCCACCAGCGCCTTCGACAGGTGCACCACGCCGGCGTCCTGGAACCGAACAATTCCTTTGTCACATGTATAGACGCGCCAAGCATTGCTTCAAACGCTAAATAACAATGTAGAATGAAGTCGTTTAGATTTTCGTCCCTGTGGCTATCGGCCGTTTAGCTCAGTGGCTAGAGCGTCGGGCCGCGAATGCCGAAGACGCGGGTTCGATTCCCACGGCGGCGACGATCTTTTCGTACTTTCTCTACATGTTTTAATATAGAAGATTAATGTTTAGAGCCGTGGTAGCTCAGTGTCCGGGCGCTCGCCTTTAATTCAATATACTCGAGCAACCCGAGTTCGATCCCCGGTGCCGGCACCAATGAAGCTTCTAACTTTAAATGCTGACTTATCACATGCTCCGCGGTTAAGGAAAACATCGTAAGGAAACCACGGCATATTTTCGAAATAATAACAAAAAAAATATTTCGAAGATTTGTGAAGTCCGCCAATCCGAAGTGGGGCCGCGTGGTGGACTATGCCCTGATATCCTCTGTATAGAGGAGGCCTTTGCCCAGCAGTGGGACATGTATAGGCTGTTACTTTTTAAAGAAACCTAACAGAGCACAGAGAGAGAAAGAGAAAGAGAGAGAGAGAGATGTCTCACCTGTATGAGGTTGTTGGAGAGGTCCAATAGCTGGAGCCTGGTGTTGAGTCGCAGCAGCGACGCCAGCTGCGAGGCGTCGTTGGCGTTCAGGCCGTTGTCGCCCAAGCGGAGCTCCCGCACTGACGCGTTCGACATGAGAGCCATCACTGCAACGGTGACAACTGTTCATGAGCAGAGTGTTCATCATCATCTCGGCCTGTTTGAGTCCACCGCTGGACATAGGCCTCCCCCGCAGACTGCCACGAAGTAAGATCCTGAGCCACCTGCATCCATTGCAACTTCCCGCACACTTGCACAGGTAGTCCCCCACTGCGATGGCCAGTACGAGGCTGCCACAGAGTGTTCGATGGGTGGGAAATGGTGCCTAATCATTGTGCAGCAGAAAGGGGTCGTTAGGGAAAGTCTTTCATTCACGGTGGGTAGAAACCTGGATAGAAATATAACAGTCCCCGCTGTTGCACGAATGGGCAGGTCCGACCAGGGAAGGACACGATCCACGATCTAACCGAAGACCGGCGTGTAGTGAAAGCGTCAGGCAGACGAAACGCGCAGGTAGCGCGTTTCGTCTGGCGAGTGAGGCAGCCGGGGCCCACTTTTTTAATAGGTGGCAACGCATCTTCAATCCTATGGGTGTTGCAAATATCCGTAGGCGGCGGTTATCACTTAACATCAGATGGACGGCCAGCTCGCTTGCCACATTCTCACATAAGAAAAATATTTAAAGACATCGGTCGGTTTATTTGACAACAATTACCGTCATTATTGACAAACATAGTCTCTCTATCCCAAAGTATCTGCCACAAGTCGTCTAACTAAGGCCGAGGATTCTTTCGAAAAGGGCGGGGGCGTTTAACTACGGTATTCCAAAGAGGGCGTGACGACACTCAGTTGACCCCTACAAGTAAGCGGGGAAGTTTAACTACGGGAAACAATAGCGAGCGTGACGATCCGGCTCGAAGTATCAAAATTTTATTGGGGGGCTAACTCTTTACATCGGTTATGATGACATAAGTGATAATAGAATTTATTAGAACACTATTTCAATATTTATATAGGTACATTGATACACTATGAATTGATATTTATGATATTATAATTATGATAGTTTGAGAACGCGTGGTTTGCTTGATGACCGGTCGTGAACTGACTGCCTGTCGCAGTATATTTTTACGCTTGCTACATATCGGTAGACTGGGTAAAAATTACAAAGCAAGCTAGAAAGCTTTTTGGTTCAACAGTGTGCCGACAAAATACTGCAAGACAATGTCTTTTGGGTGAGATTTGGGGAGATTCACTCACCCAGGCAGAGCAGCGACTCCCCGCTGAGCTCGGCGCGCTGGAGGCAGAGCGCCCGCAGCGAGCAGCCGGCGGGGCGGAGCGCCCGCGCCAGCACCGGCGCGTGCGACGCCTCCAGCGGCCCCTCGCACACCTCCAGCTCGCACAGCTCCGAGCTCTGGGGTGGCGAAAGGTCTCGCGTGACGTCACGGCATTGTACCACTTTCGACCCGACTCCGAAAGAGGGGGAGGCAATAGTTGGAGGGAAGGAGGGGGTGAGAACCATTCCGTTTTAAGTTTCCTTTACAAAGTAAATTGTTCCGGAGGTTAATAGATGAGGGGGAGGGGAGGGTGAGAATCATATCCGTTGTAAGTTTCCTTTATAAAGTGAATTGTTCCTATGTGGTCTGACATTTCTTATTATTTTTATACATTGGTATTGGAAAGGTCTACGTGACACGGTGTCTCACTTGACATCTCGCCATTGTAACACTTTCGAACAGACTCCGAAAGAGGTGTAGGAAATAGATGGAAAGGACCTACATATCTGATGCGGAAATAAAAAAACCTTATAAAAAATGAGGGGGTGAGAACCATTCATGTCCTTTACCTCGGAACTCCTTTATTTATGTAGTGATTTTAAAAATGATTGTTGCATTGTGTTCGGTATGATACCTATGTGGTCCGATATTAGTATTCCAATACTAGGTCTTCCTAAGGTTACCACAACCATGGACTCCGGAGATAGATCAGTGAACTCCACAAAATCGAAAAAAAAAAGTGTAATGAATGAGATTCGAAGTCGGTATTGTTTATTATTAATAAAAATGTTTAGTGAATTTTAAACTAAAATGTAAATATCAAAATTTACAACATGTAATACATGAAGAACCCATTAGCTTCATTCGATCCCCACTACTGGAAAAAAATTGTGTGACTAACATAGTGTTTCTCTAGTGTCTGGAGGTTTAAACATCTATAATATGTATTAATTTATTTAAGATTATGGAATATTCCCCAATCTACAGGGTGATTTTATAGACGACGGACATATTAACAGAGCATATGCAGAATTTGATTCTAAATCTGAATCCGGTACGTACTTGTGAGCTCATTTTTCTTTTCAAAGATTATTTTTTTTAAAACATGGCTATTCGAAACTCCTGTTTTACCGTCTCAATACAATAACCTATTCACGAGCACTAAAACTGTTCGCCGAACCGCTTATCACTAGGGTGACCACTCTTAACGGGATAAACGAAAATTTTTGAATTGATATTTTTCTACTTATTTCTTGTGAAAATAAAATATTAATATTCATTAATTATGGAATGCTCAATTAACATTATGTCAAAGTATGTCTTTCGTCTGAAAAATCAGCCTATATACATCTATTTTGGCAAAGAGAATGTTACAGGTTGGGTACAACACAGACCTTCTTGATCATCCTCGATGTGGCCTGCCAACCCCTGATGCCGTACTGCCGCGGCCCAATAACGCATATCACTGTAGCGCTCTCGTAGTACTCGATCATGTCGAACAGCGCCTCCTGCGAACAGCGCGATTGCGTTTCGATGTCATCAGCACATCACTAGTTTGGAGTATCCGGTCCGAAGGACCACAACGACGATGGTTTTATTTTTGAAAAATAACAGCTTATCCTTAGTTTTTACAGAATAGAATCAAGATTTTAAAGTCGCAAGATCAAATCTCGAAGCGCTGAGTTTATGACTGTTTACCTGAGCGCCCCTGCACTAGCACGAGAAATAAAATTAATCATAATGAGGTGGTGTTTTTGCATTATCCTGTTCTTCCATAATGTGTGAGAAAAATTAAGTAATGTGCCTATCTCAAAATTCTCTTGTGTGAGAAGGCGACTCGACTACCTCACTCATCAGACGAAACGCGAAAGTATTATACTTCCACTTCACGCTGGTCTTCCACGATGTCGCGGCACCTACCCGGACGAGCCCGTCCATTCGTGAAACAGTCGAGGCTGCTGTGTGGCCTTTCTACCACAGTTTCATCATCATCATTTCAGCCCGTTCGAGTCCACGGCTCAGGATCGTACTTCGTGGCAGCCAGTGGGGGAGGCCTATGTTTTTTTTTTATGGAGAAATTGAGCGGGAGGCTCGCCTGATGGTAAGTGATTACCGCCGCCCATGAGCACCAGCAACATACGAGGGCTCACAAATGCGTTGCCGGCCTTTTAGAAAAGAGAATGCTCTCTTCTTGAAGGTTCAGCGGTGGACCACAGTTTATGATACGGCTAATTCTAAAGTGTTTACTGCCGATCGTAGCTCACTCACCGCGCCCTCGTCGTCGATCTCCACGTGGTCGAGCTCGATGCGCCGGAACTGGACCCTGCGCAGCAGCGCCTCGAGAGCGTCCGCCGGGGCGCAGCCCCGCAGGGCGCAGCCCGACAGCGTGAGCCGCGCCGCCCGGACGCCGCCGCCGAGCGCGCCTTCCGGCAGCTCCTGGAGCCGAAGGGCCAAAGGTCACGACAGCTCGGCGCTCGGCTTTTCACCATTTAGGCACCGCCTCAAATTGCAAGTACGACCGACTGCCGGTTGACTATAAGGGTATGCTTTTCAGCATTAAATTCGCGACTTTTTCGCTTTTTTGTTGACAGCTGTGCACTTAAATGGAATCTCAGCGCTCGGCTTTTCCCTTGCCCAGTTTGATCTTGCCTCAAATTGCAACTACGTTAGAGGATGCTTTTTAGTATTAAGTTCGCGTCTTGTTCGCTTGCTTGTAGGACAGTAGTGCACTTAAATGTAAATAAAATATAACTCCCTCTTTAAGTATACTATATAGGTATTTAGGATTTTTTTTCCTTTAAAACATTGCACTTACTTTAGGATAACATTATCCTTTGTTGTAAGGACGTTTTACAAGCATAAAATTCACGCGGACAAACACCCAGATGCGGAACAACTATCTGTGGGTCACACAAATAGTTGCCCCGTGTGGGAATCGAACCAACGACCCCCGACGCCGAAGCCAAATACCTTGGCAACTGCGCCACGGAGTCAACATATTAAAAAGGACTAACACTCAAGGACACAACTGAACTGTACAAGGAGGGGGAAGTATCTTAACTAACGGAAGCCCCCAAAAATGGTGTGTTGCTCTCGAACATCGAGATGCTGCGTTGACAACAACAATGTATTCCCAAACTTAAAAAATATAGACCAACTAAAGGCCCGGCCACCCGCGACCTATCATTATAATTATTTCGGAAGGGCCGACTTACATTATTTATTTCTATATATTTATTTAAACTTTTACACAAATAATTAAGGCATTACATAGTCGAATACATTAGTCGCAAAAATTGATTATATCAGACACCTAAAGGCACACATGCGACGCTCTCATTAATCAGAACCAAGTCGCTGAGGCCGAATGCGGTCCAGATCACCATCGTCATTCCCAGGCATAAAAAAAAGAACTACGGTGTCGCCCTGTCAGTTGTCAACTAAAATAAGGTTGCCGTTATTATTCTGTTACTAGCTGCCAAACGCGGCTTCGCCCGCGCGTTCAATGGGAATTAGCAATGAGTTTTTTATTATACACCAGAATAGCTCGCAGATGGCAGAATTTTTTCCTACTTGCTCGACACTTATCGTTATATTTTGGACAATTCACATAATATCTTTACTAATTATAGCCTATGTTATTCTGATGTATTAGCTATATTATTGTAAAGTTTCATTAAAATCCATTCAGTAAGTATTTGCGTGAAAGAGTGACAAGCATCCATCCATACATAAAAACTTTCTCCTTTATAATATTAGTAAGGACTATTAAGGATTAGTAAGGAAGTGAGGATTGTTTACGGAGCGATTCCCAGGAGGACTGTCACGCGAAGAGCCCGTGGGAGTCACAACAAGTGTATGAAGTATGTATACTTGTATTATATACTTTTACGATAAGTGTCAAGTAAGTAGGAAAAAAATCTGCCTTGTGCGTACTATTCTGGTGTATAACAAAAAACACATTGTTAATTCCCGTTGACAGCGCGGGCGAAGCCGCGTATGTATACTTATTAGGTGTACCTAGGCTTGCTCTGCGAACATCTTTCCTTAGTGTCCTCGTCGTAATCGCCATTTTATTTCACGACTAGTCGTCGAGTAACCTCGCCCGCTCGCGTAACGAAACACCATCAGCCGTTTATTTGCGGTTATCTATCCGCAATCGCCGGTAGCGAAAATGAAACGCGATCCTCACCCACGTTTCCTGTTGTCATGTTGCAAGTTGTTTTTTCTCTTTCTAATATAAATCTAGTAATGCCTTTGTCCTGCCCTTCGCTCTAGAATCAATTTTTGAGGTTGTACTTATTTTCTTTCAAGAGCCGTGATAGCGCAGTGTCCATGCGCTCGCCTTTAACCACCAAAACCCCGGTTTCTGAAACACTGGTCATCGTAGAAATTAACTAATCACCTGTGAAATGGCTTGGCAAATGTCACTGAGTTGCCAAAGGAGGGTTAAACTCTCTGAATTGATCATTCTGAATATTAAAAAGATCATTCTGATCAATTTAACCATTGTTTTGATAACTCAAATGACATTTGACAAGCCATTTGACAGCTGATTAGTTAATTTCTACAATAAACAGTGTTTTAGAAACCGGCCGTGAATCTTCCTTTATACCCGATCTGATGAATCTGATGTAAATTGGCATACAAAAGTCTTAATCAAAATAGACAACTTATATCAATTTTTTCTACAACGATTTCATCTCAATCGGTTAATTCGTTCGAGATATTAATAAACAATATAATTGTTTCCTTCATCATTAATTGGCACAGAAGTAGGTACTAAAACTACTATACTACTATAAGAATAAACCCTAATGGGTTTAGTTAAGCGGTGTGGTTGTTGGCCAATTAATGGATAAATAAAAAACAATACGAGTGCCGCAACAAGGAAGTATAACTTTTAACAAAAAAAACCGACTTCAAAGTGGAAACTAAAAAACATTGTTAATGCCTATAGCATTTGAAGATTGTCCTCGATCTCTCTGGGATGACACCATCAGATCCGGGTTTCCTTATCACCCTGGTTTACCACCCCTGGGTCATCTCCTTTCCAACAAAAAAAGAATCATCTTTCGCCCCCAAATCTATGCACATACTAAATTTCATGAAAATCGCTGGAGCCGTTTCTGAGATTCCGTTTATATATATATATATATATATATACAAGAATTGCTCGTTTAAAGGATAAGAAGATATATAATATATATATACTGTCAGAATTGAGCAACCTCCTTCTTTTTAGAAGTCGGTTAAAAATAAAAATATACACGATCGAATTGAGAAACTTCCTTCTTTTTTGAAGTCGATTAAAAAGGTAAATGTATACAGCAGGACCTTTAATAATTAAAATTAATAGTGATACGAGTAGTGACAATTAGACGATTGTCACAGACCAATAGGTTGACGCACACATCTTGATCGTTCATGAAGGTCGATAATTAAAACAAACTATCAGGGTTGGCCATAATTTTAATAGCTCATAGGGGCCACACAACAGTCTGCTGTTGACTGTGTTATGAATGGGGAGATACGTTGGGGTAAGACAAAGTCAAGGTCAAAATTTCTTTATTCAATATGGGCCTAATTTTGGCTCTTATTGCATTCACAAAGCTGCTACCAGTTTACTAAACTAGACCTGACCAGCGAAGAAACGACAAGAAAATGTGCGGTCTTGTTGTCTCTTATATTGTTTTGTCAATGATACAATTAAACAAACTTATTAAGATATAAAATCAGCAGCAGCCAAAAGCCGTTTCCACACATCCTTGTCTTAAATTTATTCTTCGAGATTATATTAGGCCTGATGGCGATGGCGAGGGGTAGCTTTTAAGCTTCCACTTTTAAGTACCACGACCTCACAGAAGACCAGCGAAAAGTGAAAGTGTTATACTTCAGCATTTTGTCTGGTGAGTGAGGTAGCCGGAGCCCACTTTGTTAAAGCTCGTTTTCCATCTTGTAACATATAATTCTGAACAAAAAAAAACCGACTTCAAACAGGAAACTAAAAACATTTTCAACACCTATGACATTCGAGGATTGCCCTTGATTTCTCTGAGATGCCATCATCAGATCCGGGTTTCCTTATCACGGTACCGTCCTTGGAATATCTCCTTTCCAACAAAAAAAGAATCATCAAAATCGGTTTCTTCTCTTTTCCTTTCTTTTCTTCTCTTTTCCTTTCTTTTGGTTTATTTTCCTTTCTTATCTTTTTTTGAAGTCGGTTAAAAACCTCCTTTTTTTTAAGTCGGTTAAAAACCTCCTTTTTTGAAGTCGGTTAAAAACCTTTTTTTGTAATCGGTTAAAAACCTCCTTTTTTTGAAGTCGGTTAAAAACCTCCTTTTTTTTAAGTCGGTTAAAAACCTCCTTTTTTCGAAGTCGGTTAAAAACCTCCTTTTTTAATTCGGTTAAAAAGGGAAAACAACGGCCTCGATAGACACATGGTAGTGGTGTCTTCGCAGAGCGCAATTCGCCAGACCTGGCCCACCGGTAGCCACGTGTCCGGGAGCGCATCCCGGCGTCTGAATGCAAGGAGCCCCTCACCCGTATCTGCTGCAGCACCGAGTCGATGGGCGGCGTACCGTGCCGCCGGCACCCGTCCAGATACTCGGCGGCGAGCTGGCCTCGACTCGTCGACGGAACTGCGGACAAATTAATAAATAAATAAATATTTAGGACACATTTGTACACAACATTTTCTAGTCCCAAACTAAGCAAAGCTTGTACTATGGGTACTAGAAAACTCATAAACATACTTTTCTTTTGTAAATAAATACATATTATACATATGGTGTTTTTCTGGTGTCTGAGTGTTTCTAACACTCAGACACCAGAAAAACACCATGTTCATCACACAATATTTTTCCAGTAGTGGGAATCGAACCCACACCCTCTGACGCCGGAGGCAGGTACACTACCCACTACGCCATTCGGGTCGTCGTCGGGACAATGGGCGTGCAATGAGAAACTCTTCCGTTTCTGGATTATTGTACACTAGGTATTCGCCCGCGGCTTTGCTCGCGTTGAAGCCCTTGAATAAATATCATTGTTTAAAAAAAATCCATTTAAAAAATAGCCTATGTCCTTTCCCAGGCTCTGGACTATCTTGTTTACCAAATTTAATTTAAATCGGGTCAGTAGTTTTGGCGTGAAAGCGAGACAGACAGACAGAGTTACTTTCGAATTTATAATATTAGTATGGATATACCAGCTGCTGCTCGCGACTACGTCTGCGTAGAATAGGCTGAAGGCGTAACATTCAGACAGAAAGACAGATATACATAAAAATACGTTTATAAATTATAGCCTGTGTTATCCTCATGTATGAGCTATGTTATTGTAAAGCTTCATTAAAATCCATTTCAGTAGTACGTGAAAGAGTAACTAACATCCATCTATACGTTCAAACTTTCGCCTTTATAATATTAGTAAGGATTGACTCCAAGATCTCGTTGCCGCAAAAATGTATCAAGATGTTAAGTCAGCATGACATCACATGTCATTAGGACTAGCCCCGCAGTGTCCGGTCGATGACGCCACGTGTGAAAATAATAACGCGCTACGATGGTATGAAAATAATAGGTCCGGACACAACACACACACAAATATTCTTTGCGAATGCGCACTCGCCCCTAAACGCACGTAAGACACCCCCCCCTCTATTGGTCAGTGAGCCTGTCCCTTAAGCCGGACGGTGTGGGTTCGATCCCCCCTACTGGGAAAATGCAGTGTGACGAACATAGTTATATTTATTCTAATGTCTGGGTCTGTTTAATAGTACCCATAGTAAAAGTTTGGGGTCACAAAGTTGTGTACGCGTCCCAAAATATTTATTTAATTAAAAGTTGTTGAAAACTGAACCTTTGTAGGACCACTATCTACTCTAAGGCATGTGAACTATAGGGACTAACAATATATCATGGCGCTCTTCACATATGTTCAAAACATTTTTTTATGATTACATATTTCGTAAATATGTACGTTTCCTCACGATGTTTTCCTTCACCGCTGAACACGTGATAAGTCTGAACTTAATTTTAACAATTTAATCGCCAAGCATTGCTTCTAATGCTAAAAAGCAATGTAGATAAAAACAAGTTAAGATTTTCGTCGGTGTGGCAATTAGCTTAGGGGCAAAAGCGTGGGGCCGCGAATGCCGGCGACGTGGGTTCGATTCCCACAGCGGCGACAATCTTTTCGTACTTTTTCTACAAATATTTCAATGTTTAATCATAAGTGCAGAGATTAGCACTATAAAAATTAAAAATTTCTAATTTGCCGGCACCGGGGGGATCTAGCTCGGTCCGCTCGAGAATATTGAATTAAAGGCGAGCGCCCGGACAATGAGCTGTCGCGGCTACAGTGAGCGATATTTGTCCCGTAGCTAGGTGAATTTTCACAATCTACACGTTACAGACACAGAGAAGAGTAACGTGGTCCATATCGAATAGACGATACGAATAGATTACTTGCAACAAATATTCCGCGCGACACCGCGATGCTTCGCGTTAAGAGTTTATACCCGGCGAAATTATTTTTTCGAGAATTTATCTCTCCTCGCGTGTGATTGCTTCATTGATTTGTGCTTGTGTCTACCGCCGTGATCGCGAAGCCAGTTAAAAGTAAAGTTATCTCCCAAAGACCCGATTGGCGTGTGGAGTAGTGTACCTGCCTCTTGCACCAGAGGGTGTGGGTTCGATCCCCATTACTGGAAAAATATTGCGTGATGAACATGGTGTTTTTCCAGCGTCAGGGTGTTATATGTGTATAAAATGTATTTATTTACAAAAGGAAAAGTATGTTTATCGGTTTCCTACTACCCATAGTACAAGCGTTGCTTAGTTTGGGACTAGAGAGCGTTGTGTGAAAATGTGTCCGAAAATATTTATTTTTTTACTATTATTATATACATGTTGTGACTTTATAGGCTGTTACTCCACTGCTGGGCAAAGGCCTCCTTTGTAGAGAGATTGTTAGGACACAGTCCACCGCGCGACCCGACTGCAGATTGACGGACTCCAATTATATTAGAAACATTTTTTTTACAATTACATATTTCGTAAATATGCAGGTGTCCTCACAATGCGTGTTATATGTGTATAAAATGTATTTATTTACAAAAGGAAAAGTATGTTTATCGGTTTCCTACTACCCATAGTACAAGCGTTGCTTAGTTTGGGACTAGAGAGCGTTGTGTGAAAATATGTCCGAAAATATTTATTTTTTTACTATTATTATATACATGTTGTGACTTTATAGGCTGTTACTCCACTGCTGGGCAAAGGCCTCCTCTGTAGGGAGATTGTTAGGACACAGTCCACCGCGCGACCCGACTGCAGATTGACGGACTCCAAATATATTAGAAACATTTTTTTACAATTACATATTTCGTAAATATGCAGGTGTCCTCACAATGCGTGCCTTCACCGCTGAGCAAGTGATAAATCAGCGCTTTCAAAAGGTAAAGGGGTTGAATGTGGTTGAACGCGAGGAATTGGCAAACGAGCTGGCGGTTCACCTGACGTTGAGTGATAACCGAGTGGGCAGGCCCATGGACATTTGCAACACCCGCGGGGTTGCAGATGCGTTGCCACCTCTTAACAAACTGGGCCCCGGCTACCTCAATCACCAGACGAAACGCAGAACCGCAACACTTCTACCCCACGCCGATTTCTGTGAGGTAGTGGTACTTCCCCAGGCGAGTGGAAGCGCACGGTCAGGACGCGCCAATTTTTCCGATCGCTACCGTCTTCTTCTGTTTGTGTTTTTTCCTAACAACAGAACAGATCAACGAACATCGCATTCATTTTATAATTGATTTTCAGGAGTTCCCCAAGTATCTCCGGAGCTGAGATCTGATACGAATGAAATTAATATTGGACAAATAAAAAAAAAATAATCATCGAAATCTGAAGTTTTAATTTAATTAATCTGAAGTTCTGAGCTAACAAACAAATACTTACTGCGTCTTATCACTATCGTCTTATCTCTATCGTTACCCGATTGCCGAAGGGCGGTAATGTTTCAGTAAAGTAAAACAAAAACGGAAGAGAAGAAAGAACATCGCATCCCATAGTGAGGAGACGGCTTCGAATCCCATCCGCGCCCCGAAACACAATCCAGCCCGTGTCGAGGGTTTCAACCCTAACGGCCCTTACGCACTAGCGGTTAACCGCTCCCGTTTTTTAAAGGTTAATATGAAACCACCTGTTATTGTACGCACTTAACCGCCATGAATTTTCAACCGCAGCGGTTGAATGGACAGGTGCGGCCCGCTTCGCGGCAGGCCGACATCTTATTTATACGCACTGGCGGTTCAGATAGCGGCGTACCGCCGAAAAGTTTGTACGTGTAACGCGCCACCATGAACCTCGACACAGAGAAATTTATAGTTGAAATTCAACAAAGAGAAGCTATTTGGAATAGTGAAGCAGTTTATAAAAAAAGAGATTTAAAACAGAAACAATGGGAAGAAAAAAAAAAGAACTTGCAAACTGGCCTCATTCATTACGTTTTTTCTAGTAAAGGATGAATCCAGTATGGTTTTTTATTTTCCTTTGGCCGCCGTAGCGGTCAACCGCTATAGCAACCGCTTCAGGCGGCTGGACGCTAGTGCGTAACGGGCCTAACACTACGCAGCGTCGTTGCGTCTGCGCACGCATGGCCGTACGCACACACGCACACACATACACGTGTGTGCTATGAGGACGGCAACACCGTCGTATCAGTGTGTCCGCGTAGGCGTGGCCGGCTTTGTTGTAACGCACGCACACTGAAGCGCCCGTTGAGGCGAGACTCGTTCTCTTTGATGTAGTATTTTTCTTAGAAATTGTTAATAAGTACACTATTTTTTATTTCCTTTAAGACAGCTGCAACCTAGCTAGGGTTGGCGACGTGAACAAGCGAAGCTAGGTGAACATGGTAACTGTTCAAAAATAATTAAATACGAAACAAGTTGGCAGACATAGCTTCCTGTAAATATTGGTCAGTAGTTATTTTAACACTTCATATTATGTAATGATGACTCCGTGGCGCAGATGCCAAGGTACTGCCTTCGGCGTCGGGGGTCGTGGGTTCGATTCCCACACGGGACAACTATTTGTGCGACCCACACATAGTTGTTTCGCATCTGGGTGTTTGTCCTCGTGAAATTTATGTTTGTAAAACGTCCTTACACATTGGACTTACACAACACAGGATAATGTTATGCTAAAGTGAGGGCAATGTTTAAAAAAAAAACCAAATAACAAAATTTTAATCGAATTTTGCTTAATGTCGTGCCCTTGGCGGCATTCGCAAGAATAGGCAAATTCGATTGGATTTATCTATCCAAATATCAATAAAAACATTACACTCCTTTGTGTCTCGCATTCGGCTAAAACAGGAATTTACCGTTTTCCCACGGTTTATCTACACATTTTATACTTCACATATAAAAAAGTAAAGTAAATATCCCACTGCAGGGCAGAGGCCTCCTCTTTACAGAGGTTATCAGGGCATAGTCCATGCGGCCCCGCTGCGGATTGGCGGACTTCACATATCTTCGAAATATCTTTTTTGTTATTACGAAAATATGCAGGTTTCCTCGATCGATTTTCCTTAAAAGTTTAACCCAACCTTGTTTGAAATCGCATTCTAAGTT